ATATATACCCATACGCCTAAACTTGCCGGCCTTTATATAAGAAGCTTTCTGAACACAGAACCGATTGCCTGGGTTTTTTTAGACCTAAAATCTATTCTGGTGAAAAATTTTAATGCATGGCCAGAAATAGGCTGTCTTTTTGGGTATTGAGACTTATGTCTAAGTTCAATATAAGATAGGAAAACATTTTCGCATAAATTTAAGAAACGAATTTAGAAAATGAGAAGGATATAATTTGGCAAGAGTTGGGCAAAACAATGAGTATGCATGACTAGCCTGAAGTCTTGTTATCACTCTTGAGGTTCGCACTCATGCAAACCACTACTAATTACACATATTAATATTGTGAGATCGTCCTAGAGATTATTCGGCTACACCAACCTCCCCTTCATCTATCTAAAGCTTTGATAAACTTTTCGAATTACATTCTTAGAATTGTGCGGGATTGAATTTAGCTTAATGCTTATAAGCTTTTATAAAATTCCTTTTTCATGTATTAACGATTGATTAAGCATACTCGCTCAAATGACCAATTTAGTCCAAGGTGGCCTCTTAGGCTTTTACTTAGTTTGTTTTACGTATTGCTGCAATATAAAAGGTCCAATGGAGTGAGATTATTTTGGGATTTATCGAGTTTTACAACTATTTATTATTTAAAACTTTTAAGTGGCTCTTTTTTTACGTATTTTATTTTCCACTTATTGATATCTAGTTTTTATTCGATAAATTTTAAAAAATGCTTTTTTTTTTCATTTAATTTGACTATAATGCCTCTCGAGAGTGGGCTAAAGTTCTGATATTGACTGCTGCATCATCACGATCTACAGGATTCTAATTGTGAACGCTCACGTTAGCAAACAAATACGCAATTCCACAGGCCACATTACTCGAACCTATCGTTCTGTATAACAATCATTAAATAAAAGCTGGAACAACCATCTCTCAACTCATCATTTTGTGGAGAATTGCGTCCCCATGGGCAGCCTTGTCTGTCACTAATACATGAGTTGTATTCCCCCTCTTTCGTTAAAGGATTTGTAATTGCATTTTCCCACGATGAGGCATTATAGTCAAATTAAATGAAAAAAGCAAGCATTTTTTAAAATTTATCGAATAAAAACTAGATATCAATAAGTGGAAAATAAAATACGTAAAAAAAGAGCAACTTAAAAGTTTTAAATAATAAATAGTTATACAACTTACGCTTCCATTGAATTCCACTTGGCCTTGGTATTCTTATCCAGACATGAATTGACTGCAGCTTTTAACCTCGTCCAAGCAAAGTTGTATTTGCTGTAGCAATCGACTACATTACTTATTTTTTATCACCTTACACGAAATAATACATATGTATTTGATCTACTGGTAGTCTCATATATCTTTCAGTATGTTGAATGCTAAAATCTGAGCTATTTTGATATAATAGCTACTTGCTGTTGTAATAATTGGTGAATATCTTTTCAAAGTTCTGACTCTTCACATACACATTTGTTTTTCAAGTCTCACCTACCGAAGATTTTTTTTTATCCTTGGATAATGATGAATTTTTTAAAATGGGCTAATCTTTGTAATCGTATGCATATTTTGATTTATCTTAGTATGTTTAATTATCACTTTGTGTATAACCAATTGACAATCTACACTATGCTGATTATTTTAACCAATAATCGAATGCAGTGATTATCAGCACCAGGCCGTTCCATGGCCTGTATCTTTACTTATTTATTTGTTTTAATTTTCTAGGCTTAATCTTCTTCCTGTAGAAATGAAGACCAAGACGTTTTGGTCTCCTGGTCAATGGTTTCTTTATGCTTTATATATATATATATAATCTCACTTATGTGTATTGTCATAACTCGTAACTTTCTGTTGCTCTCATTTAGCTTTTCAATGTAGGGTATAACTCGTATTAGCCTGTCTTCTCTACAATGACTTTTTGTTAAGTCGCAGTATCCTTCTGCTGTATAGTGTTGGCTTGACTTAGTTTTTGCAATTTGCTCGCAGCAACAGTGAGACCTTGTGGAATGCAACTTATGATCGGTTCAGCTGTGTCCCTTTGATGTTATTTTTTCATATACTGTTTTTGTATGCCTGTCATTTTATTTTTTAGCGAAACATATATTCGTTATAGAATACATTGACCTGTCTCATTAATGTTTATCTCCAAATTATTATTTCTTGAAATACATTTCCAGCCGCATCATATGATTTGTCATTTCCTGTCTTTTGTTTCAAATTTTAGCTCGTGGTCTCTATGTCTTCCTTGTCGATACCGAAAGCACTGCGTCTCTTGAAGCCGCAGTCTCGCGTCTTATGTTGCATCATCGTCACTCACCGGATCATAGCCTAACTTTACCAGTTTCTGAATATAACTCAAATATCTCAGCCGAAAACGCATCAATTAATGTTGCTTCTGCTGCCACTGCTGGGGTTTCTTTCTCTACTTCCTCCACCTCTGCTTCCGCATCAGTATCACCTGGTGCCAGTCCTGCCTCTTTGCCCACATGTTCGCAGCACGAAGCTGAAGAGGCTGTGGTTATGGCAAATCCGACAAATGTGTCACCACACATGCTACAACACGTCATGACTCCAACCACAGATCTCGTATGCCACTCCTTTCCATCTTCCATGACAGCGCACAGCGACAACACTTTCGTAACTGCAGCCAGTGCTAGTACTCTGAATACTCTCTCAGCTAATTGCCTTTCGCTTCCATTTAGAGTTTCCTTTCCGGGCTCTCTTCGCCTGCCAGCGCATCGCCTATTTCTTGGCTCTCATATCGGCACCGGAGCTTCTGCGATGGCCACTTCCACGAGTGGTCACAATGTTGCCTCCGCCCTTTCTGCCATAACCACAAGCCCTTCCCCTTGCAAAGAGGAAATATTGACGTTAGACAGTCTCTCAATGGAACCACTCGATTCCTTAGAGCACCAATTATGTGAGTATTTTTCTTAGACCTGAATCGACATTAATTTTTATAATACTAAAATTCCATTATTCTTATCATAATTTTGGTGTATATTTCTTATGGGTTATGGAATTGGACTACATCCCGATTTGTATACTAAAAATGCAAGCTTCATACTCTGACATTAGCTGGTTTTTACTGCTCATTTATCAAGTGCCCTTTTGGGCTGTTTACAGCACCATTTATGATTACCTCTCTCCAAAATAGATAACATATTCTGGTATGCCTTACACACTATATTGAATTAAATTGCTCATAACTGTGATAAGTTAAGTAGAACACGTTTATAAAGTAAATTTTAAAATTGTATCGAGTTTAGGCCTTTATTAAAACGTAGAATATCACTGTCATTCAAAATTAGACCCTGGATTAATCATGGTTGAGATCTAAATTTGTGTCTCTAGCGCCACCTGAACACATTGTATATTAAAATATATAATTAAACTGTATCAGACAAAGATGCAAAAACTAATTTTGTGCGTATTAAGAATCCATAAATGTATTATATTGCTTATACACGGAGAAACCATAACTAGTTGTAGTAAGCTATATATAGGATGTACTAGGAACTCATCAGCTGCATCATACCATTACGAGGAAAATCACGAAGAAAGTGCGGGTTTCGAATAGCCTCATGGAGTAAGATTGTTGTGAAGACTTTATTTTCGTATGAAAGTGTATGAGGGAGAGATGCGTTGTTCGATCTCACCAAAAGACAAAGACTGATTCATGTTGTACTGCAGCCGTATGGCTCTACTGCGACGTCCAGTCGGATGCATTTCACAAGACATCCTCCATGATTTGGGCCGATACGGGCTGAGCTTTCGTTCGTCCTTTGACGAAAATCGTCAGAACTTGGACTCATTCTTGCGTAAGCCTCAAGTTTACATTAAGTCAAGAAGAATGATCGGCTTTTTCCTTCATAATTTATATAATAAGTGCTAAAAAAAATTAAGTATAGATTTATACAGAATTGTTTAGTCATTTTGGCTAGAAACTCGTATGAATGTGAATTAGTTGACCTGCAGAGTATTTTCGAAAAATACATAGTTTTGACTTGGTATCAATGTTTACGAATATTCCAGTTTAGGTAACATTCAGGTTCTAATGCTCGTCCTGGACGTGCATTTAAAGGTTATAGTGGGAATTAAGCTGAATATAGCCTCCATTCTAACCTATCAACTTCACCTTTGGCGATAAGTTTTATGAACAGACACAAGGACCTGAAATGGGTTCTTGCTTAGCTTTAATTTTGGCGACTAACTACATAGCGAAGCTTGAGGAACGCATAATGCAAGAGGTAATTCTGAATTCTAAATTGCTTATAAGTTACATGGATGATTATTCTTTGATCTGGTAGCATGGCAATATTTTCCTATTTTCACCTAACAAGCGTGAAAGAAGTATTAAGAACAATGGAATTATAATAAAATATGAGATTACCTTATTTAGGATGTTTTAGTTATTAGGGATGGTAGCAAGTTAGCCAGAAATGTAATAGGAAACCAGCATATGTTGGTATTGTCCTTAATTTTTTTTTATAACCATAGTTACAAAACTAAGGTTGGATTTTTAATATATGTGATTATCAGGAGTATATGACGCTTACAGATAAAGATCATTTAACCGAAGAGTTAAGAAGACTGAAACATTTATTACTGGATAATAATTATCCTTTGGGCTTAATTGATAATAATATCCCTTTAATGAGGAACAAACTCTCAGACGGAGACTATTTGATCAGAGATATGCAAATCGAGACCCTTTCTCATTGTCTTATATTGCCGTCATGCTTTATTTTTAAGAAGATAGGATCATTAATGAGGAAGGGGGGATAAAAACGATTTTCAAAGATACTGGAAATTTTTTCGGTTATGTGCCTTCTTTTAGTGAAATGTGACCCATTATCAAGTTCCAGCTATTACAAGATTTCGTACTAATTTGGTCGACTTTATGTTAGTGAGACATTAGGGCCGATCCGCCAAAGATTAATGGAGCACAAAAATGCTTGTAAAGGCAGTTAGGCCGTACGGTCTGAAGTGCCTGAGCACAGGACGAAAACAGGATATGAGACAATGATATCAGGCGCCAAGGTTTGTCTATTACGAAATGCAAGATAAGAGGCCATTCTTAGCACCATACAAGATGGTGTGGCCTTTCGTGTGGTCGCAGTCTCCTTTCATTGTACAGAGGTTGTTTGAT